TGAACCGCTTTCTTGAGAAACTTCTTAAAAAGAAAGAAAAATGGTACTATTATACTCACAGCACTACTAAAACTTCTGGTCACCTGTTTTTGGTTTTTGAAAGCACCTAGCAATCGAGAAACCTGCAAGAATATAAAACAAGAAGATGCTATTTTACTATACAAATGGGATTTTTAAAAGTTAACAGTGTTGCAGCAAATCTGCATTTTAAAATCATATGGCTTCAAACCCCCTATCTCAAGCTAGTATAAAAATCCAAATGAAACACGAGTAAGGAACACATTGCCATTTTACTCTCTAACCTTCTGGGATTATTCTTAGCACAAGGTAAACCCAGGATGTGCCATGCCCTCCGATCTTGCCTGGGGTGAGGCAAGGTTATTGCACATTTGAAGTAAGGTTGCAGTAACTGACTGAACAGAGGATATGCTAAGGATTAAGATTCATGGAAAGCAAAGTGAAAAATCAAACACTTTCACTTAGCAATAGGGTGGACAGTATCTTTATACATTTTAGCTAATGTTCTCAAAACTTCTTTGCATTAGTGTCACTTCCTCCATTCAGACTGTGGTGGGTTTTGTTCTTCCACCTTTCGCATCAGGAGGTTTTGTGCTGTTGCCTTCTGTTCGCCCAACAGTTTTTAAAAAGCAGAATTGACATGTATGTTAAAGACAAAATCGACCATTGCAACAAGTCTACAAAGCATAGTCAGACAATTACTCCTCCTAACATCTGCATATTCCAAACTGGCATTAAGCGTCACAACTGGGATGGTACCTCAGCTTGAGCTTTTGCCTGGCTGAGCACTGCAGACAAAATCCCCTGTTGTACCAGTACCAATACTGAACTGCAGAAAAAATGCAACCTCCCAACTTTACCCTCCTCTCCTGGGTTTTCATGCCTCTGGGACTTAGGAGTCAGAAGACTTCCAGTGCCAACATTTGGAGGACGTAGCTCTGCCACACTCCTGTCTGCAGCTATCGCGCTAGACTGGAATGTGTTGGACAATCTGTACTCCTCTCCAATCTCTTATCCTTACTGACAGATACGCTTAAGCATGGCTGTATGGCAAAAGGGACAAACCACGTTATCACTCACAGAAACAACTAGAAACAATGCAGTTCTCAGGGTTCTTGTAATGAATGCTATGGGAGAAGTAATTTAAGCTAGAATTTACATTTACTTGTGACCTGACATGACATGTACAAGGTCATTGCAACAGGCAAGCAAGGTTTATCATAGCAAGGCATATATCTGAGGCAGCAGCTGAAGTGATTAAATGAAAGCACTGAACACACGAGTGTAAGTTCCTGCACGTACAGTCAGGATTCACATTCCAGAGTAGCTCTGGGAAGGAACAGTTGAGCTTGCCAGGAATCCTGGGCCTGGTACATCACACTTCGGTTCAACACCTGTAATGCTAGCAGAGAATCAGGCCAGACAGAATTGACCTGTTCTGGCATTAAACCCTCTCGCCAGTTCTTCCGTAGTTCAGCAGATACATGAAGTGGGGCTTATGCAATGACTTAGCCCCCCACGGGCTATTAGTTAATATTATTTAAAGGTGCTAAAGAAATTCAATTAACTCAAGGCAAAACGCAGCAGTGTCTTCGTAACAGCCCCGCAGTAAGGCTGCATCTCAGAACAGCTGGACCCAGCACATCCCCGAGGACGGGACAGGAGCCT